TGGTCGAATGTACTTATTGTAAGTCGCTTTGGATAAAAGCGTCAGCTAAATGCAATGTAATGTAATGTAATAGATTTTTTAGTGAGACCTGTGAAGACACCATTACAGTACAAGTTTTTCCAAGTCCTGCTGTGACATTAGTCTTTTAATCCTAGATATATTCTTTAGGTGATAGTAGGCTGATTTAGTAACTGTTGAAACTCAGGTCAGAGTCCATGACTACACCTAGATTTCTGGCTTTATCTGTTGTTTTGAACATTGCACACTGAAGCTCAGCGCTAACTTTTATACGTTCTGCCTTGGCTCCAAAAACCATTACCTCCGTTTTATTGACTTGTAGGGTAGAAGTACAACAAATCAAAACATTGAAATACAGAAATAAAGTACAAGTATTTGAAAATTGTTCTTGAGTAGAGTACTTGAGTAAATGTTCTTATTACTTTACATCATTGCAGGTATATTACCTAGCTAGCTCGGACTACAATGAAAAGTGAGCTAGCTGAACATCATTACAACCCGTCCTGACAACGGCTCAGCAGTTAAACCTCTGGAAAGTCCTATGGTTTGTGTAAAAGGTTTGGGTTCACAATAACCATGTTTAAACCTTGTTTTGGTACCACAGGGTAAGCTCTATTATGTATAAGTTTACAGGACCGCACACTACAGTGTTTTGTAGGTTTCCTCGATGATTTTCAGATGACGCTACAGCGCATCTCTGCCCGGTGTGAGCTAACGCTAAAGTTATACGACTCACCGCTGCTATGAGGGAAGACACGTGTTATCAAAACGACCTACTTTCAAAAGAAACCAACAACACGTTGAACACATGTCTGATAACGTAGCTTTGAAATACAGCTGTAAGATGTCTTAACTACATGGTAAAATCACAGTAATGCTTCATGTCGGCTTAATGCGACACCGCAGTGTGGAGCTAACCACTATCAGGGCACTTCCTGCTTTCACTTACCTGCGGTTTCTGTGATCTTCCGTAGAATAAAGCGATTAAATGTTTAGGAAATACTCCTAAAGGTCTTCTGTTTCCAATCCACTTTTTACTCTGATAAAGGTCTCTCGGATAGCCGTGTGTATCTGGAGGCCAGAGAAATCACAGTGAGCTCAAGGACTGAGGCTGCTGACTCCACCCCGGGCTACCTTGCGTGTTTCTGGGTGTTGTTTCTGTCCTGGGGCAATGCTTCTGTGATGCAAACAGATACAGAGGAGGAAGCAGGGGAAAGGAAAGAAAAATCACGATTCAAAGAAAATATATGAGAAAAAACATGATTCAATGAAAGTATTATGTATTTTAATAATGATCAAACTACAAAAATACTGATGAAGGGTTTTTCTACCAATTATCAATACAGTATCAGCATTACAGCAATTGCACATCTTCTACAACCCCCTAGATCAGTGGTTCTCAAACTTTTTCGGTCAGGCCCCCCCTTTGGAGAAAAAAAAAAGTCGGGCCCCCCCCAACACAAATAGTCAGGCTCAGTGGCGGCGCCAGAGATTTCTTTTGGGGGTGCTGTGGGGTAGCTTGACCTTTCATAGAGCGTGCTCAAACATTTAGGGTTTCCCATTAATGTACCGGTTGCTACAGTGGAATTTTCTACTGCAACACTCCCCACGCACATACACTATGTACTCGCGACTGTTACAATGAAGGCTCGATATCAAGTCTCGGCATATAGGTGTAAGCAGGGGTAAAGTGCTATTTTTATAGGTGGTGTGTGGACCTCACATAGGGGGGTCCGGGGGCATGCTCCCCCGGGAAGATTTTTAAATATTGAAGTTGAAAGCATCAATCTGGTGCACTTTGAGAGCAAAATGAAGCGATCTATGGATACATCTCTCAACACCCAGATGAAACAGAATTGTAAACAGATTTACTATTTCTTTATGGATATTTTATAAATCACTCTTTTAAACTTTATTCTTGTTTTACTGTCATATAGTATTTCATAGCTGTTTTTCATGTATTCTCTTATTTTTTTATAACTATAATGATCATATAAACGTGTGCCTCGGAAATAATTGTTTACATTAATGGTGACCAAAACGTTTGAGACCCACTGAGATAACACTGAGAGTCCTTTAGCTCACTGAGACTCTCAGTCTGACAGGAGAGGACTCTCCTCCACTTTGTTGTTAAAAAAACTCCTTATATCCGTTAGCGTAGCTCGCTAGCACCAGAAGCTAACATCAACGATCTCCGGTACCGGTGCGCTATCTCTCTCTCTCGCTCACGCACGCACACAAAATGGCTCGTTCCACACACACACAGAGCCGAGCTTTAATGAAACACAGAGACCCAGACGTAATAGTACTGTATCATATTATTTTCGAATCAATAATTTTTCAAAATATGATTTTTTTTTTTTTTTATATAATCTTTTTTTTTTTTTTTAATAACCATTTTTCCTCCTGGTCTCTCGCGCCCCCCCTGTCATGCCTCTGCGCCCCCCTGGGGGGGGCGCGCCCCCCACTTTGAGAACCACTGCCCTAGATACAGGAAGAAAATAAATAATATCTGCTTCATCTTGTAAAGATGTTGATGAAGTAGGCATACGGTTTGTATAAAGTTAATTATTTGGATAAAAAAAGCTTTTAACATTGTCCTCCACTAATTTCCCTATGTCTTCACATGGCTCTGGTGGCACATATTATGGAGTGTCATGTAGTAAGACATAAGGTTTTCAGAGGAGCTCCTTCATTTTGTATCATAAAAACTATTAGAATGTAGGCTACATGTAATTACCTAAAACAACTGACACTGCATTTCCATTAAAGAAAGTCAATAAAAAAAAGTCCAAATGTGTGATGTTTGATATTGGCCTACATAAATAAAGAGTAAATTCACTGTAAAAATATAAACTAGACCACTTTTCTGCCCAGGTGGATGCAGTAGATTGTTGTGTGTGTTTGTAGTAATTCACATTCACCACTAGATGACAGTGGTTTATTTTAGCTCGCCTCCAGATAACCTTCCTAGAAGCATTACCGTAATCTGGAAATGTGACTGAAGAAGCCTTTGAAGAATCTCAGGAAACTTTTATCTTCAACTACGCCATGTTACACTGACTACATCTTTATTTTTGGCATTCAAATTCATTTTTGTTGTTGTTAGAAAAGTGAAAAATCCTCATATTATTTCGGTTGGCATATTGAAAAAAAAGTAATAAACAAAATAATTCAATATATGTACGAAAGTGAGAAATTCATGTCATCCACAAACCTTGTGCCTGTCTATTAGAGAGGTGGGGGGATAAACCCTGTTACTAAGAAGGACGTAAGCTTTCAATCTATGCTGCACACTTGAGTTGTTTGGACAGATACTACTCCAGCCTCTGATATCAATCTTCATTTACAGGTACTCACGCTTTGTTATTTTGGCAGCCATTTGATTAGTAGTTATAGATCATTTAAAACGGTGTGAAGATGTATCTCGTCTGTGTAAAGAAACAAGCTGTTAAAGAATTTCCTAAGAAGATTACATGGTAGAGCTAGAAGATGAAGGGACAGGAGAACACCAAGGCTTTTTAAATTAAACCAGTGTTATTTTCAAAGGAAAGCTAACTTTCAGAAATGTTTTGAAGGGCATTTTATAAGAAAAGGGAGAAGAAATGTTTCTTCTTTACTGGAACACCTAAAAGGAGATTCTTCACCTTGAAATGTTTGTTTAGTAATATTTTCTTTTGGCTAACATCACTGGTTCTCCAGTTTCTTTGCCAAGGAGCTAGACGTTATGCTAACCAACAATCTCAGTCTTTAAAGAATAAATAGTCTTCTGGTAGGCCATACACTGTTTAAAAGGGGTCTTGACCTTTGTCACACCTACCAAGTTATAAATAGATAAATACGGGATACATAATAGGATCCACCTAGTGACAGGCGGAGTGAAGAGGCCATGTTGGATAGTGATCCTGCTCACAAGTGGATCCAAGGCAATGATGAACCTGATTTACTTACCCAGTGGAGACAAAAGTTGTGAAAGGAAGACCTCAGGATTTGTTTGATCATTTTCTGTAACTTTGGGATGTTATTACATATCACCAGAAAAAATGCTCCTTTGAGAGAGAAGATGCCTTTCTACTCGACGGTAAACTGTTATACATGTCCTGGTGTAGGGTTAGCTTTAATTTAACTTGTGTTGGATCTGGAGGTTTCAGTACCACCAGCTGTATATGGATAATTGCAAAAAGTTATATTCATTTATACAGTATATTCTTGCTGTGCTTAAAGGTTTGGTTCAACCAAATTCTATACAAATCAGTTGCTTTCCTCTTTTGGCATCTAGCTGTGCAAATAGTTTGGGTTTTCTTTGTTCGGATTTGAAGATATCAAACGAGTCAAAACAACAAGTGTGAAAGAAGTTTATTTTTATATATTTTAGTAGAAAAGTAGTTCCAACAAAACCTAAAAGAGATAGGCAGATTATGAACCATACTCTATCAACATGCAAGATGCCAAGGTTAGAAGATGTATTTTGTATAGGTGAACTGACTCTAAAAGTATCAAGCAGGCCAGTCCTAATCATTTGGCAGGCACAGTTTCTCCTTGATCGGTAATGTAGTCTGCTTGTAATGACACTGTGTGAATGTATTCTTCCAACATGTCCGCCCATGTCTTAGAGCAGCCCAGGTTACTCATGCTACAGTCACTGATGCACAGGGTCACTCCCTTACCCAAGTGATTTACCATGTGAGGGTTTATTTCCTCCAGTTCTTCTTAATCATTTCACAGGAGGACCATTATGGGATACTTCTCAGATCTTTAAGAATCAACACTAGGCAGCTAAATGGATTCATTTTACAATCTATGTTCTGTGTTATAGAACATGTCTCTCCTCTGAGTGCACATACATTTACAACCAAAAGAGAGTTGCAATGTACAGCGAGTTGTTCAGACTACTTACATGTCTCATGTTTCTTTCCTCAGAATGTCTGATGGATTTATTTGGTTCCTGATGGTCACTATACATGTGATATGAGGGTGAAAGGAAACCTGGATGCTTTTATCACTCCCTGGATTGAAAACTCAACACCTATGACATGTTGACACCTGTGATCTCCCCTGGGCTCATCCCAAAATGCGTCCCTTTTTCCTATTTCAAAAGGTTTCCCCAGAGTAAACAGGACTTATTTTAACATCAGAAAATGGAGCCTTGATAGTTTATCATTCAAACTTCAGAGTGGAGTTATTTGAAGGCCTCGAAAAAGTGGATTGATGTTTCTATGTAGCGAGTGTGTGAGTGCAGTGCAGCCTTGGATCCATCGTGGAACCACCACAGTCCCCCCGGGCGCACAGCCTTCGGGCCGGAAGCGCTCAAAACCAGAAACTACTCTCTGGTGTTGCTGATCCAGCTCAGCCTGCTCTCCTTCGACCTCTTCGTCAACTCCTCCAGCGAGCTGCTGAGAACTGAACCCGCCACCATGCTGGTACTCTTCATGTAAGCCAGAATGACATCCTGTTTTTCAAACCATGTCCCAAGGGGGAATCTAGAAATACTACGCTTTGGTTCTTTCACTGAGTCATATGGAAATGATTTTAAAAACAGCACTATACTATGACAGTAAACTTGGAAATCTTTCTGATCCTGTCACTAATGTTCTCCTCTTTCCTTGCATGCTTTTCTCTCGACAGAATCCAGGACATATCAATCCTGTTCAACCTGATCATCATTCTGCTGATGCTGTTTAACACCTACGTGTTCCAGGTCGGCCTGGTGGCTGTATTACTGGAACGCTTTAGAGCTGCGCTAATGCTCTCTGCTCTCTATCTGACCTTCAGTATCATACTCCACTCCTGGCTCATGGTACGTGCTCTACTTGCACAAATAGGCAGAGATATATTATATGAAATGTATTATGAATGTTCGTTTTTTCATTACTGTATGAACCAAATAGTTTTTAATTTATGTATTTATGTCCAACTCATAAAAAGGCTGAAATTATATTGTTTAAAGAGAAACTTCTTAAGGAGGCAAAACCCACATACTTCATAAACTAATTAAACTATAAATAATGGAATAACTACATAAGAAAGGGAATTATTTTCCATCTCTTCTTGGAGAAGAGCAGCCCAACTCGCCAAGTTTCTCCTATCAGTCTTTTTTTAATGAGTTCATCCAAATAAACAGTGTTTTTCCTCCTTTTAAAAAGAAACATGTTATTTAAAGTTCAGACATTAAAATAACCATTAAATATTTCTGTATATTCTTTCCAGAACCTGCGTTGGATGAATACCAACAGATTTGTTTGGACAGACGGCCTTCAGGTGCTGTTTCTGGTCCAAAGAGCTGGTAAGATTATATTTTCATTTGTTATCTATAACGCCAAACAGATGGATTTATTTTGAACGCTTAATACTGTCCTTAGAGCTTTGTTAAGGATGTCAAAAATCTGCTTCTTTTAGAAGAAAGGAGCCACTGTCTATCACCTCGTATTTCTTTAGATTGACATTTAGTTGTATTTTCTCAATTTAAATAAAACAAAGGAAGCTATCAAGGCAGTACTCAGAGTAGAGCCTCTGGGCTTTTCTCCCAGCTGGATATAAGAAGGAGCTGAATGTCACTCTCAGAGCACAATTATTTAGAGTGAATGCTTTTAGATAAAACATAATTTGAAGTATTAAGTAAACCAAACCATCATTCCCCTCACTACTCACAAGTAACATTAAGTCACATTATTACTTAGTTTATATGCTCTATAAAGAAATCTCCCAACGTGCTCCAGGCAGAGATCTAACATCATCATGCGGGTGTAATTGTCATACACGTATAAGCTCATAAGTGGATAATTGGATTTATATTCTAGGTATTGTTATTAAGTATTAGAAAAGACTGTATCCATGTTTTTTTGTCTCTGTTTTGTCTGAGACCCACCCAGTTTGTGCATCACTGCTGAATCACAAAGATCCCAAAGTCTCTCATCATGAGCTTTCCTTCAGACACTGTAAACTCTGCTGGGCTGAGTTGTAAATGCTGGTGGGATTTTCACATTTCTCTGCGTCTACAATCACATTTGAGGTTTTAAGTGCCTTTAATCATTGTTCAAAGTCTACAACAGGAGCCACACACACTTGAGAATGGCTGATCAATTATGCAAACTCAAAAGCACCATTGAAATATTTATTTACACAACTGAACGTTTTTATGCAGTTGGGTGTTAATTTGGATGTTAAGTTATAATAATGATGTTGATGCAGATTTGTTTGAAACAATAACTGAAGTGATTCTCACGTTTTTGCAAGTTGATTCCCATGACAATATTTAAAGTTGATGCAGCGTTTGTTATAAGACAAGAGTTTACAGTAATGTAATTAATGTATGATTTGTTGTAATTGAGTTAAAAAGACAGGGCGACTGTGGCTGCGAGGGAGTGCGGTCGTCTTTCAACCAGAAGGTTGTGGGTTCGATCCCAGCCCATGCAGTCAACATGTCGATGTATCCTTGGGCAAGATACTTAACCCTGAGTTGCTCCCGATGGCATGGCCAACGGTGTGTGAATGTGTATGCATGTTAGTTCCTAGAGTAACATACACTGCTCTGTATGAATGGGTGTGAATGGGTGAACGACATGTAGTATGTAAAGCGCTTTGAGGGGTCTTAAAGACTGGATAAAGCGCTATAAGTCCATTTACCATTTACAAAACATTAGACTGAATATTGAAATAGAACAACTATACTGGCGTATTGGAAATTCAACTGTACTTTATTTGTTTTTTATTTACTGTTTTGGATGTGTTTAGCTGCTTAGTTGAGCATTGGATTAGTAATGCCTTCAGGAATTAAATATTTCCGAAGGCAGACATGTCAGCACCTGTAATTAACTAACCCCTAAGTCATCGCTGTTTATCAACAATTATTTTAATCCTCTCAGCCATTTCATAGCTCCGGATTTTTGAGTCTGATTCAGAGCTCCATGAAATTGAGTGTATTTTTGTTTTGGTGTTTTTGAACGATCATTTCTCCTCATATGTTTGTTCTTTCACAGCTTCAGTGCTGTATTACTACTTCTACAAGAGGACCACTGAGTATCTGGGCGACCCTCGCCTCTATGAGGATTCACCGTGGCTGCGAGAATTGTTCTCTCGGGTTAGACAGTGATCTCACCGTAAACAAATATTGGACGTAAAGATGCTTCAATAAAATACAGTTTGTAAATGGATTTCAGATGCTTTTAAAACAATCAAAACACAACATTACATTTCCAAAGTTTAAATAAAAAATACATTCCGGCCTGAATTCCTTTTTTGAACACATGCTTTTTAAGTCAATTCTACAGAAATTGTAGGCAAAATATATATTCCACTTTACATCGTCTTCCAGTGCAGGAAGGATTGTGCCAAAATCTGGTAAGACATTTCCGAACAACAATAAAAACAGCGTCTTATCAGGCTTTCTTTGCTGTTCAGTGAGATGATGATTAAAAGATCATCTCTTGATAGCAGTCACCAGATGCCCTTGTTCTTGTTTTATGTTAATATGTACTTTCTTTTTAAAAAGAATATATTGACCAAATTGAAGTTGTTTTATATACCTTTCAGACTTCTGTGTTGCTTGAGTTTATTTTTAATGTGGGTATTGGACTTGGTTGAACTTTATTATGGCCGGATACTAATCTGCACTCTCTGTAAGATCTTGGACTATCATGTGCATCTGAGCTGGCTGCATTTCATCTTCATAGGACGTGTAAAATACAATAAAAATGTTTTCTAAAATGTACTTGGTCATGTGATTTATGAGCTTGTTCCGAAGCATGACTGCAGATGAGAGAAGCGGAGCTGATCCTTCAGCTCACTGAGCTCTTTGAGGAGTGACTCCTTCTGCAGGTGGAACTGCAAACCAAGTCATGAGAAACGGTTTTTGTTATACTGTATGGGTGTTACTTTTTGATATATAAAACATAAAACATGTGATGGATATTTTTGTGAAATAAAAAAACATGGTGACAATGGCCTAGGTTTGTTTGTGTTTATTTTTTAATATTTAAAAAATTAAATATTTCTTCCTGACTCAGGGAGAAATCTAAAAGCTTTTTGTGTGCTGAGTTTTATTGTGCTAGTTTTAATTTGAATATTTATTTTTGAAGCAATATTGATAACTACCAATAAAATCAAAACAGTTCTAGCCCTACTTCTGAATTTAAAAATAAAAACACTCACCCGTGTTGCATACTTATAAAACTGCTCTGCCTCCTCTTGTCTGCCAGACTGAAAATATAAAGTGCATTCCATGGTTAGTTCAGGTCCCTGCAGCCTGCCTTGAAAAATGCAGTTGCAGGTATTAAAATGTGAGTGTGTGCTGAACTGTGTCCCCCGTCACAGCCTGAAGGGAAATAGGTCACACACTGTAGATGTATCCTTTGTTGGACCTTAAGCTGAATCCCTTCTCAAATTAAATCCAGCCTCACTGAACAATATGATAATGTCATGTGTGATTTGTGAGCAAAGCATCATGCTAAGGCTAAAGGATTCAAAAGATGTGCCCCCCATTTGTTTGAGTTGGGGCTATATTTCTTGGTGTCATGCATTGTATGTAGGAATGTAGACATAAAGGGAGGCAGAGCTTGAAATGGTACGGGGCCAGTGAGTGTCCCCATCACTCACCTTGAGGCAGATCAGAGAGAGGTAAGCCCACACTTCTGCGTTCTGAGTGTTCAGATGGTTGGCCTCGGTCAACGCTTCCTCAGCTACACACAGCTCCTCCAGCTGCACACACAAACACAACTAAGGATAACTTCCTCACAAAGTAAAAAAAAAACAGAGCATTCTTGTTAACATGAACTAACTATATAGTCCAGTGGAATAACATCAGGTCTTCACAGTAGAATTAGGACAGAACTTAAACCTCTCTGTGAGGATTTTTCACAAGTATTGCTGATGTTAACAGCCTTTAACATTGTGAAGTCACAAGATACAAGTACAATTGACTGCCTTTTTTAACTTTTAAAAAACTGAATTAAATGTGCATTTAATATACTTTCAGGTTTCTAGTCATTGGTCTGGAGGTAGAGTTTTACCCGGTAACAGGCGATGCCCAGGTTCAGCCAGGTCAGGCAGGACGGAGACTGCTCGCAGGCCTGCAGGTAGACCACTTTGGCTTGCTCAAACTAAACATAGAAAACACAACAACAAATAAAATATGTATTTACACTGTATTTGTTGTACTTAAACGTAATGATAATAATTGTGTTGTCTGCCTGTTATCTACAGCGCAATGATGTTATTACACATAGTTAATCACATTTAGGTATAGCAATAGAACATCAGCCCTATCATAACTTGTACACAAAAAGCCAATTGTTTCATAGCTTTTTCACCAATTTAGCTATCTCTGTCACGATTCTCATGTCATGTCACATTTCTATGTCTAGGTTTGGGTGTTTTTGCTGTTCTCTCTGTCATGTTTTCCTCCTGGGTTATTGTCTGGTACTTCTCCCTGTGTTTTTCCTCCCGTCGTTAGTTTCCCTGGTGTGTCTAGTTATCTGATTGTGTTCACCTGTGTCCCTTGTGTTTCTCCTCCCCTGCCCGGCTGTTTGTCGTCTTGTGATTACCCCTCTCTGTATTTAGTCTAGTCTCTTCCTGTGTTCAGTGTTGGTGCTTCTTTTGTTTGTGACCTAGTTCACCGTAGAGTGTTTTGTCTGTCCAAGTATAATTAAGTCCTTGAAATAAAGGTGTTATCAAGTGCTATCTGCGTTTGGGTCCTACCTGCTTCACTCTGCGTATCAGAAAGCACCAACCCAGAAATGGACCCAGCAGATCCGTTCGAGCTGGAATTATTGAATTTTTCCTTTTTTTTGGCTAACTGCTCGGATCGATGGAAGAGAGCACCCGTAGTTCAGCAACGAGAGGCTGTGTTGTCGGAGGCGCGCTAGATGGCTAGAGAGAAACCAGGTTTGGTGAAGTTCTTACCTGGCTGGATTTCAAAGATCCTCCCGGTGTGTGATTCCCGGCCTGCTAGCCCCAGGCATGCTAGCTCCCTGTCTCCCAATTCCCAACCTGGTACCATACGCCTCGCTGGGTTCCGTCTGAAGTCAACCCATTCTCCTGTCCAGGAGTCGTATTCTGGAACTCGTCTGGCTTATGGAGGTCCACGGAGTATTCAGGCGGCTGCTAAGAGAAGGAGTCGCAAGGCCAGGCTAGCAGCCCGAGCCCCAGCAGCCATGGTTCCGGCTACAGAACCGGCCCACACAGCCATGGTCCCGGCCCCAGTTCAGGCCCCAGCAGCCATGATTCCAGCCATGGTTCCGGCTTCAGTACCGGCCCCAGTAGCCATGGTCCTGACTCCAGTTTCGGCTCCAGGACTGGCTTACCGGCCGACGCCAGCTCCCCGAGTCCTGTCTGCGTACCGGCCAATTCCAGCACCTCGTCTCCTGTTGGCTCTCCAGCCGACGCCAGCTCCCCGAGGTCTGTCGGCGTACCGGCCGACTCCAGCACCTCGTCTCCTGCTGGCTCCCCAGCCGACGCCAGCTCCCCGAGTCTTGTCGGTGTACCGGCCGACTCAGCACCTCGTCTCCTGCTGGCTCTCCAGCCGACGACAATTCCCCGTGTCCTGTCAGCGTACCGACCGACACAAGTTCCTTCTCAAGACCCTTCTCCAGTTCCCTCTCAAGTCTCCTCTCCAGTTCCCTCTCAAGTCTCCTCTCGAGCTACCTCTCGAGTCACCTCTCAAGTCACCCCTCAAGTCCCCTCTCGAGTCTCCTCTTGAGTTCCCTCTCAAGTCCCCTCTCAAGTTCCTACTCGAGTCCCCTCTCAAGTTTCCTCTCAGGTCCCCTCTCAAGTCTCTTCTCGAGTCCCCTCTCGAGTCCCCTCTCGAGTCTCCTCTCGAGTCTCCTCTCAAGTTTCCTCTCGAGTCCCCTCTCGAGTCACCTCTCGAGTCTCCTCTCGAGTCTCCTCTCAAGTTTCCTCTCGAGTCCCCTTTCAAGTCACCTCTCGAGTCCCCTCTCGAGTCACCTCTCGAGTTCCCTCTCGAGACACCTCTCGAGTTCCCTCTCGAGTTCCCTCTCAAGCCCTCTCTCTCGAGTCCCCTCTCGAGTCACCTCTCGAGTCCCCTCTCAAGTCACCTCTCGAGTTCCCTCTCAAGTCACCTCTCGAGTCTCCGATCAAGTTCCCTCTCGAGATTCCTCTCAAGTCACCTCTCAAGTCAACTCTCAAGTTTCCTCTCGAGTTCCCACTCAAGTCCCTACTCAAGTGTCGTTGGAGGTTTCCGCTGGGGGTCCTGCCAACTCTATGTCCTGTGCCGTTGGAGGCCCCGCCGACTACTCTTCTGCCGGGGGTCCTGCCAACCCTGTGTCCTGTGCCGTTGGAGGCCCCGCCCACTACTCTTCTGCCGGGGGTCCTGCCAGCCCTATGTCCTGTGCCGTTGGAGGTCCCGCCGACTACTCGTCTGCCGGGGGTCCTGCCAGTCCTGTGTCCTGTGCCGTTGGAGGTCCCGCCGACTACTCTTCTGCCGGGGCTCCTGCCAACCCTATGTCCTGTGCCGTTGGAGGTCCCGCCGACTGCTCTCCTGCCGGGGGTCCTGCCGGCCCTGTGTCCTGTCCCGTTGGGGGTCCCGCCGACTACTCTTCTACCGGGGGTCCTGCCAACCCTATGTCCTGTGCCGTTGGAGGTCCTGCCAACTCCATGTCCTGTGCCGTTGGAGGTTCCGCCGACTGCTCTCCTGCCGGGGGTCCTGCCGGCCCTGTGTCCTCTTCCGTGGGGAATCTTGCCGACGCCTGTCCCACCGGCTCCGGATCCTGTCCGGTCGACACCGGCTCCTGCCCGGCATCCGGAGCTGTCCGGTCTTCGCCCTCGAGCCCGATCCCCTGAGTTCGCCCGCTGTGGTCTTCGCCCCTCCTCGAACTCTGCCTTGCCCCCGGGGCCATCCGCCCGAGAACCCCTTTTTGAACTCTGCCTTGCCCCCGGGCCGCCCGCCCGAGACCCCCTCCTCGAACTCTGCCCTGCCCCCGGGCCGTCCGCCCGAGAACTCCTCCTCGAACTCTGCCTTGCCCCCGGGCCGTCCGCCCGAGACGCCCTCTTCGAACTCTGCCTTGCCCTGGGCTGTCAGCCAAGGCCCGTCCTCCGGACCCCCTCCACCCACCCTGCTGGACGTTGTTGGATTTTTGTTTTGGTGTTTAGGGACGTCTAGAATCCGTCCCTTGAGGAGGGGGTTCTGTCACGATTCTCATGTCATGTCACATTTCTATGTCTAGGT